AAACTGAAATACGTTGATGGGAAAGCATTACTGCCGAAGAATGCTTTAAAACGATATGTCATACAATTTATCGACTTTCTCAGCAAAACGCCTACATAGGATTTCACGTTGTCTATCAAAACAATTTCCAAGTTGTTTGATTTGTTTTGTTTTTGAATTTCGCGCAAAGCTACACGAGGGTTATCTGCGCTAGCCGTCCCTAATTTAGCAGTGTTAGACTAGAGGGAAGGCAGCTAGTCATCACCACCCACCGCCAACTCTTGGGCTACTCTTTTACCAACGAATAGTGGGATTGACCGTCACATTATAACGCCCCCACGGCTGAAAGGGCGAGCATGTTTGGTGTGACGGGGATGCGAACCGTGTTCTGCGTCCTTTGAAGAAAAGCACTAGAAACAAGTCTGAAAAACGACATAGCTTACTTTTTTTTTCAACTATTAGCGCTCGCCCAAAAACTCATCACAGGAAAATACTTATTACAGCAACGTCTCAAGTAAATAAAATGAAAAATGTTTCTAGTTCTTACAAGCTGAATTTCAGTGCATCAACATATAAAATATTTGAATCACATATATAGCTAATAGACTTAATACATACAGAACGTTTTTTGATACTGGTATATTTGGCTTTAGCTAATAAACGGATTATGCAAAGTGCCCAGAAATTATGTTAACAAAATAGTACATTTAACTGTGCTACAGAGACGAAAGTCTTGAAACACTACAATGGCTACTAGAATTCCAGTAGACAAATAGTGATACACTGTGGCATGCGTGGGATATCAGGCGGAACGACAAGGCCTCAACAGGAGTTTCATATAGTTACAGTAGACAAATAGTGATACACTGTAGCATGCGAGGGATATCAGGCGGAACGACAAGGCCTCAACAGGAGTTTCATATAGTTACAGTAGACAAATAGCGATACACTGTAGCATGCGTGGGATATCAGGCGGAACGACAAGGCCTCAACAGGAGTTTCATATAGTTATAGTAGACAAATAGTGATACACTGTAGCATGCGAGGGATATCAGGCGAAACGACAAGGCCTCAACAGGAGTTTCATATAGTTACAGTAGACAAATAGTGATACACCTGTAGCATGCATATGATATCATGGCAGGGATCGACAAGAGTTCCAAAGTATTTTGGAATGCCTTTCGGTTACCAAGGCTCATAAACCGTTAATTTTCTTGACTTTAAAATGTCTTGAGTCTATAATTACATTCATGACAGTAAAAATGTTTTACTTGGAACAGTTTTGAGTGACATACAAACAAGATTAACCACAGAACCGTTGGATTTCTGAAGACATTTTTCTTAACTATTTCTGCACCAAATTATTGATGGTCCGTGACTTCTAAGCAACAGGGTAACTAATAACGTGCCTCCATTCACGGTGGCTCATTAGCAAGTCTGTAGGCTTACAACGCTAAAAAAATCGGGTTTAGATACTCGTGGTGGCCAAAGTACAGATAGTCCATTTTGTAGATTTGTGCTTAACAACAATCCAAACCAAAACAAATCCTAATAGTGTATGAATCACACAAGAAAAATTTACTCAAAAACACCATCAATGATGCAGTTAAGTTTTGAGCAAGACAACTTGGATTTTGATCCGGATCCTTCCACTGCTTATGCAAAATCTCCATCTCTGGTTTTAGGTCATTAGAAATTTAAAATTCATTAAAAGTCGAGAGTGATTATGGGAAACAATTCCCAACTTCATGGGATTAATAACACTGAAGTTATGTTTCTTGTACAAGTTAATCATGATATAAACTGTGCTTACATAGATATAGATATATTATAACTCTTGTGATAACAAATGAAATTTTTTGTTATACGTTAGTAAATCAGGACATACAGTTGTATTGCCTATTTAGTTGTGGTTGTGAGTATAATACCTCCATATATGTTGTTAACTATAAATTAGTTGCTGGTCTTTGGATTGCATAGAAGAAATAAAAAAGAACAATCCACAAGGGCACCGGATACCAATAATTTGTCTGAAAAGTTTTTCTAAAACTTGTTAAGAATATTTTTGATATTAAACGATGTCTCATAAATCTTACCTGACAATCAAGTAGTAGTTTTAAGTAAGAAATGGCGCTGCGACTGGTCTTTGCAAATGTGTATGTTGTGTGTGCTCATTATAAGCTAAATATTACACACAGCTATAAACTTAATAGACCTATAAAATGGGTTAACTGAAACACTCATATATATATAAGTACACGACGAAAATAGTTTCCTTCCTTTGATGCCACTAGACACTTTTAGTTTTTATTGTGGGTTTTTTCGTTTCTATCATTAATAATCAAAAATCAACTTAAAAATAATACAATTCATACTGAATATTTCGCGTTATATAAACAGAATTAAGTTGTTCGAAAATACTTGCCTCGTAATATTCTAATTCGCTCGCGTAGAAAAGTGGTAATTAGACACAGTTTTTTTTTCTTTAGTGACATCGAAAACGGGAAACACATGTGGTTATTAACATTTTAAAAAAGCAGAAGTGGTTCCCTGCCCCACTAATATATATATATATTTGCTTTTGAGGCCATTGAAATAGCAATGTTTTAATTCAATTTTCAATAAAAGCACACGTCACAAAAGCTATTATAAACTAACTTACTTCACAGTTAAGTAAATGTGTTTATGCTTGTTGTTTTAATCGCTCGATTTTTAAATTATTGTTAATAAAGAGAGCATGTAACAAGGAAACCCGAGTAAGGTGAATTTAGAGAGCGACCCACTTTTACATTTACAGAGTTAAGAAGCAGCACGTGGATAGCGTAACCTACGAGGTGACTGGGAATTTCTAAGTATAGAAACTTGTAATTTTCCGTTGGTCGCATTTCAAAGCTGTTAATAAGTTCTTGTACACTTGGGGGCTTCGGAGTTAGATAACATTACTTTGGGAAAATGTCGCATAACGCCTCCGTAAATTCTTAGAAGTTAATGCCAATTAATTGTTTCTTAATATTTGCTACTTTTAACAATGATGGAATAGTTAAGGAAATTTAGTCATCAGCTCTGGAATGAAGCTATATTGTTTGCCTTAGAATCAATACCTATGTAACTTAAAAAATATTGGACATATTTCTGTGAATCTATGACAGAATAATAAAATTTCAACCATGGGGAAAATAAATAACTACAGGGTTAAATTCAATGCAGTATAAAAGATGAATGAATGATTATCAGATAAGGAAGATAATACATTATTATCTAAAAGTTTCTTACATTTGCACACAATAACACTGAGTACTATGCAGTTTTATTTCCTAGAAGTAATTTAATTAAAATTTTCTAATTCAGCCACAATTATAAGCAACAGTAAAGTCGGAGAAATTAAAAACAGTAATAAAAATGGTAACCGTTAAAAATTTGTAGGGAACCCATCAGTTATTATAAATATATAAGTACCTAAAGCTAGTTTAATTTATCCATGACTGTAACATACCTCTCGGGAGCGATAAGTCTGAAGGCTTATAAAGCTAAAAATTTATATTTACAGTGGGCAGAGCAAAAGTAAGCCATTGTGTAGCTTCGCGCTTAACGACAGTAATATATACGCACAATTGGTGTTAAAAAGAAATGACTGACATCATATATAATCATAATTTGTATTTTTCATGCACACTTTAATAGAAGATCTTAAAATATGAACTTCATTTCAGCTTTTTTATAGGAATAATGTAAGCACCATATTAAACGAGTGATTTAAATGTGTAGATTAGAAAAATATTTGGTACAGTAATTTACCATATATTTATTAATCAGTTTCTTTGTATCATATTGTTTATTATACATTTAGCATATACATATATATAAAACAATAAATGAAAATAATTGCATAAAGTTTGTTTTACCTTATGGAATTATCTATCTGCCTATTTTCCTGTTTTCCGTCTGCCTAGAGTAGCTTGTTGAAACTGGTTTAAAATAATTTCTCTGCGCATTCCATTGATCTATTAATTTTGTTTTTGTCAGAAATCGAGCTCCGAATTTTAGCGGCATAAACCCTCAATTACCGACGAGTCACAGAGAGAGTTACTAATTCTGAATATTTATATATATATCTTGGTTTTATAATCTTGAACACAGACAAATTCAGTTGATATATTCCTTAAGAGTATATTTCATGCTTCAGTTGTTAAAGATTTCCAGCAAATGGTCAGGTATCCCCCGATGGGTTAGAAATAAGTTTGCATACTTACAATGCTAAAATCCGAGGTTTAATACTGTGGAAAGAGTGCAGAGAACTAATTGTGTAGCCTTGCGCTAAAATAACTAAATAAATGTTTAGCTTAAATATAATATCCATTCTTTAAGTGTAGTGTACAGTATCGTTCATTGCCATTGTTTAGAAATATTTACCTCATTTTTTAGATTTCTGCCTTCTGTTCTTACTTGATATGAGACTTATTCGAAACTATTCAGTCTTCTATCTTCAGTGTTCTGTGAGTTACGTAGATGAAGTAATTTATTGCGTAACATAATGTAAGGAATGGTTTATGTTTTGGTTCGTGCTTGTAAGAAAGAATCTACAGACCTATCACTACATCAGAAAATAAAATACCTCAGAACAGGATGTTTGTCAGTAATTGAGTGTTAAGAAGTTGTTTTTGTAAGTAAGCATGTCGACAAACAGCTTAGAAACCCTTTCTCTCACTCTATCTCAACAGAGTAAAAATACCCCATCTGACAAGATGTGGCCTGCTTAAAGAAAGTCAGTCAGTGTCCTATTTATTCTTCTATTATAAGAAACAAAAATTTGATAAAAACATTAGGTAACTTTGAACATAATGAAGTGATTGATGTCCCTAAATTTTTAACATTTAGAGAATACTTTAGTGTTTATGATATTTGGTGTACTTCATTGAATAGTTTGCTCAGATTAACGTTGGATAAGCAGAGAGAGAGAACTTAAGTTAATGTTTATTTAAAGTCTACACAACGTAACGACTTTTGTTTCTCTTATTTTTCAGTTTGCAGCGAAATACGCCGAACAGCACCTATTCAAGAACCTTCTACCTAAACTTCAAGACATTTTAAACCAGCCCGAGTGGCATAAACCAGAACAAGCCAAGGATAGAGAAGAGGATACACCAGAAGGCGTCAGTGAGAATTTAGACCCAATTCCTTCTAACTCCAAAGTAGATGAGCTCACCAGATTATTAACTGAAGAGATTTTAACATTGGATAAAGAGTTGATTGTTGAGGCTAAGTCATCCGGGGATGTTGCAGGTTAAGAAGTTTCCTTCTTTCTCTCTCTCTATCTGACACCGTTCAATTAAGAAGAAAAAATAAACGTTTTTATACTTAATACATGTATGTTAGTGAAATTGTCACAATGAAGGAACGCTTTGCGTTTATCTTTACTATTAGCTAACTTGTTTCGTTTTTATTAGCTACCGTTATATGTCTGCCTTTATGTATGTATGTATATATACACACACACATACATACACATATATAAATTCACAGTTTTCTTTTTTTTTTGTACACACTTTAATATAAACTCTTAAAACATAAAATTCATTTCAGCTTTTTTTTATAGGAACAGTGTAAGTATTATATTAAACAATTTGGTATTGCACAAGGTGCACTTTGCCTTAAAGTGTATCTTTTAATAACACATGTCAACATATTTCCCAAAATAAAACAATAACATTTTTCTTTGTACTCAAATGAACTTTCATAATGTAAAATAGCGTAAAAAGTCACAAAAAATTTAAGTAATTTAAAAAAATAGAAATAATAAAGGTAATTAACTCACGTACTGGTGTTTTAAAAACTCCTTCATGAAGTGACACTTGTGTTGAAATGCTGTATATTGGAACAAATTACACATTTATTAGTTTAAAGCTATTCAAGAGTAGTGAATTAAACAAAAATAGCGGGAGACATTTTTTTTCCAGAACTTAGAAGCGGTTACTGTGTAATGGTGAGTTAATGCTGCTTTTCAAAGGTCGTTATTTTTAATAGTAGAGTGCAGTGTTAACTTTAATGAGTACTTCTTAACTGAATGCGAATTAATAACGCTTTCAGATCGAAATCTAAAACTAATGTATGTTGTACCACACACCATCAGAACATCGTGTTACTACGTTTCAAAAATTATAAATGTCATTGCGCACTTATTGTTCTCATACCTATCATGATACCAAGATTTCAGCACGTATTCAGCCTCAACAGGACTTATGAACTGCTGACCAGAGGGTAAACAGTCAGTCAGCAGCACCCGCGGCCACATATCTTTGTTTGGCCTAGAACCGAAGAATAATGGAATTAACTGTCACTCTTATGACGCACCCAAAATCAGACCTCTGTATCCACAGCTCTTCATTCTCACCTCTAGCCACGCCCGGCAAAATATGATTTACTAAAGATAGAACAACAAAATATCGGGCTAGGTGGGCGTAAGAAAACGTTTTGCATAGGGATGTCCAGTGGAAAGCACCATTTTTTTGTTCTTGTTGACAGAACCAGAAACACAAACTAAATCAGCACTTTAAAGGTCTGGCGTTATAAGACAAGCAGAGTTTATGGATAGTTATTTTTAACTCAGATAAAATTATTTCGGGAGCTGAGGGTCCTGTAATAACAATCTATTGACCTTCAAAACTACTTTCCTGCTCTAAGCTCCATAAGTTCCTAGATACGAAGATTGAAAATACGCTAGTTTATAAATGACGAATTCGCATATGTTAGTGATCTTTGTCTACTAACTTTACGCCACGGTCACCATAATTTCGAAAAGTAAAATTCAAAAATTCATTTTTCAAGAATGTTGGAAAATTATTGAAGTTCGTTGATTTTAAAATACATGAGAAACAAATTAATTAATCCCAGATGCTGAGCAGTTGCTTTATTTCAGACTTCTCGCACAAAGTTACACAATAGGCTATCAGTCGTCCATAATTTTGAACTGATAGACTAGAGGGAAGGCAGGTAGTCAAAGAACCCAACGCCAGCTCTTGGGCCATTGAGTTTGACTGTCACTCTTATAGCACACTCATGGCTCCCCGAAATGAGGAGCGCAATCTTGCGTCAACAGTCCGCCAATCATAACCATTAGGTCATGGTTAGATGGAAACTTATAATGTCTGGAGACGGCTTGAATGGGTAATGAAGAAAAACTTTAATATAAGTTTAACATAACAGCAAATGTATAACGTTTCGACAAGGTTTTGTCATCAT